TCATAAAAGATGTGATGTTTGGGTGTGGTCTCGTAAACATAAGAAAAAGTACTGGACAATGGGATGGAGTATTCGGACTAGGAGATTCTGTGGACTCCATAGTGTATAAATTAGGCAGTAGATTTTCTTATTGAATTGGAAATATATTAGATCCTTCTTACAGTTTCAATCGATTGACTATAGGCGAAGGGTACTCAACCCCTTACGAAACAGACGGTGGCTGGTATTACGAAGGGCATTCAACCCTTGCGAAACAGACGGTGGCTTGTATTACATAACTCTTTTTTGTTTTTGGTCAGTTTATATTTATTTTGATTAATTTTTTGAGGTTTTAAAATTAATAATCATGTAAATTTTTAATAATTTTAAAATTTATAATACTTAAATTAATAATTTTTAAAAAATAAATTTAAAATCTTATCAATTAAGTTATACTAGATTGCATTACATAACTCTCTCTTTTTTTTTTGATTTACGTGGGGTGTCCGGGTCAGCTTGCGCGCACCACGACTAATCCCCACGGCCCACTGAATATCCTGCAAACCCAGTAGGCATGTAAGACACCGCAGGGATGACAGGCGTGCACGCTAGGGCTTGAACCCAGGTGCATTACATAACTCTTTTTTTTTTTTTGGATTTACATGGGGTGTCCGGGCCAGCTTATGCGCACCACGACTAATCCCCACGGCCCACTGAACATCCTGCAAGCCCAATAAGCAGGTAAGACACCACGGGGAGACAGGCATGCATGGTGAGGTTCGAACCTAGGTACATTACATAACTCTTGAAGGCCCAGGTGGAGGAGAAGAAAGACTAAACAGATATTCTAAAGTTTTGAGCACTGGAGGGCGGTGGGGTGATATTAGACTCCGGAGGAACACTCACTACCTGTCTGAAGTAGCCTATAACGTAGTCGGGAAAAATATCTCAAGCTTGTTGGGTGGAACCTCGGAACATATTACAAATCAAAATAACCCCATGCTATTGTGTTTCCAGGGAATTGCAAGCCAAGAGCTACAAGGATTTCCGACCATCCATGACCTTTCATTTAGCTAATAAAGCTGGTCTAGTGGTGGCTGCGGAAGCTTAATAAACATATTAATTGTAGCATGTCTTAAAATTAAGAAAAATCTCAAAAAAAAAATTGCATGTTTAAAAATTCAAAAAGTATTGAATGGGTTTCACAATTAGTTACAAGAGTTTTATCTGAAATATTATTTATAATGATATAATAGCTAAAAATTCAAAATTTATCCTAAAAAAAGCTTAAGCAGTAATTGAGAATATTTCAACATGTATTTCATAGTATAAGAGTCATGGGCATTTGAAATACAAAAAAAAAAAAAATCACTAAATCTCTCTATATTTCTAACTATAGTTTATTTGTGGTGTATAAGTTGTGAATAAATTTGTTTTTTGTAGATATCTTTAAGATAAAGTTCTTGATCTAAAATTATCTAAAAAATCATGACATGTATAAACTATATAATTTCACCATTTTTTTAAATTTTATTATTTTTACAATTTTTTTTAAAAAACAAACGTGCTAATAATAATAAAAAAAAAGTAGCCTTTGTTTCAATATAACGTTATATGATACGCGATAATGCGTGTGATTATGGACTTTCAAGTTGTTTCTTTTGACAGTTTCTAGGCATGCTTGTGTCATGTAGTGGGGTATAAATTGCTATAGTATCAATATAGTATTACGATTATTGAATTTCTCCAAGTAATAATCAACAATTAGTGTTGTCTATATAGGGATGGTGTGCTTTTAAGATTACATGAACAAGTCAAGCAATCTAGTTATCCACCTAGCAGGAAAAAAGATTGGACTGTCCCACAATCCCTAAGGATACCGCACTAATTTTAAGTGATCACAAGGCAAGCAGGATTAATTTCATGATAATTAAATAAAAACTGAGAAGAAATTAATTCTCATGAAACTAATTCATATATTATCAATTTGTTATTATATGCTACTCATCGGGAACAGCCGGGAGCCAAAACAAACTCGCAAACAAAAATTAAAAAGAAACCTTAATAATTCATGGAAACCAGGAGCAACAACTCATCTCAAGCACAAAATGTGTCATTACAGCATAACAACGCATGTGGATTTTGGCTAAGGTATTACCAGTCTAATGTTTTTTATAGCCTGGAGTTTAAAAAATTCCCTTCTCTTTTTTTGTTTTGTTCAACGTTGTTTTATTATTATGTGCAAGCATGGCCACCTCTTCGTAGCCGACAGAATAATATTTCTTTTTTTCCTAATGTTTTGACTTTGTTATATATACAATATACATATGGAGGGTCCATTTGCTTATGATAAAATTAAATATAGATCATAAAAAGTCTTCCTCGCTGACGGTGTCGGCCTTAATTTGTTCCTTCAACGTTTAATTTTGCCAACGCGAGTTTAATGAATGATTTTGTTGATATCTAAAACCGAGTTAAATGACTCTATATATCTTTCCATGATGAATCTCTCTTTGATCTCTTTAATGTTGTAATTTTTTTAAATTTACACTCTTTATTTTTTTTATTTGTGCTTTCCTTTTTCTCATCGTATATCAATCATGTTCTATTCTCATGAAATCTATTAATTGAATGGGAATTAATTAATTACATAATATATTGAGTCTCAAACCTATTTTATTAAAAGAAACTACTAGCTAGACAGATAATCATTAGGTTATGATACTCGTAAGAGCATCTATTATATTTGAAGATTTTTTTAAAAAAACTTAGCATATAAACAGACAATTTCGAGCAAAATACAAACAGAAATTCAAATGCATAGTGACGCTAGCTATTGTCTGGGCCTCTGGTGGAAAAGGATGGACGTAAAAAACAATATGGCACAGAAGTTTACCTCTTGGACGTGATGCAGAGAGTTTAGACGTTTCCCGTCACTCTCAATCAATATCTCTTTGGTGTTTGCCCCGTTGAAAACGCAAGCTAGCTTTGTCATCTTGCATGTTTATTCAAAACAACTAGAGTTAATTTTACACGATTATCTTCAAGAACATAATTAATTATTGAATATTTATTGCAAGGAAAAGTTAGTAAGCGCAAGTAAGTGGGAGAGAGAACTAAAAAAGAAAAAAAACAGGGATTAATCAAGGTGAAGTGAGGCAAGTAATGAGGTCACACAGGAAAACTAAAAAAGAAAAATATACATAAAAAATAAAGATTTCCATTTAAAAGTGTTTTCTTATGTTAGCAGAGATATTTTCTATTTCATAGTTAATTTTGTAGTGGTATAAAAAATACTGGAAATTGAAAGCAATGAAATATGCTTTGCCCTAAATCAATGAAACTGGATCGTTGACCAAGGAGTAAGGACGACTTCCTCAATGGATAACTGTGAAGCAACTTGCCCATCTACTAGCTAAGAAAACAAACAAAAAAATAAAAAATAAAACAATAGACAACATTGTACGCTTTTAGATGGAAACATGTGCAGGCATCTTCTGTTTCCAGGAAGGCCTCCTTTTTAATGCTCTTTTTATGAAGATGGTCAGCCGTGGAACACGCTTTTTCTCAATATTTACATCCAGAGGTGTTTGTCGCGGCCTTTGTTTTTGTTTTGAAAATATTTTATTTTTATTTTTTTAATAATTTTGATGTAGTGATAATATTGAATATAGATAAAATATCTAAAAAAATTAATTTAATATACTATTTAAAAAACTTGTATCATCACAATCTCAAAAAACAATCCAATCGTGTGGCAACACTTTTCCTAGCAAAGACGTCGTCAAGCAATCTTGTCGTGTCCTCTATAATGATTGGACTGGCCATCTCAAGATTACAATTTTTATAGTAAATAAAAATGAGAAGAAAAAAGAAGTAAATTTTGGGTTCAAATCCTATTAAAACGAAATAGAATATCTCAAATCTAAAATTCATTCTTTCTTCCCCTGATCACCTTGATTTTGGTTTCATTTTTTATGCAGGCTGTAGCTAAAAACATCACAGAAGACAAAAAAAAAAAAAAAAAAAGATTT